CCCCAAAACCCCAAAACCCCAAAACCCCAAAACCCCTCAAACCTGTTCAGATAGTAATTTTCTAAATATGAAGTCAACGATCTACTCTCCTCATATAAAGTCTTACTCTTCTGTCTTGGCCACTGGGCGCCATAGAGTCATCAATGGGACTAAAGAGAGTAACGATTATGCCAATTTAGACTTCACTGATGAGCATCTGGAGGATATTCCCCTGAAAGCTCCCAAGTTGCTTACGAATGTGCACTCTGTAGATAATTTATTGTATCCAGAAGAGGAATTTAGAGAAGAGAATTATGAAAGCCAAAGTAGCCTAAAAGCACCCCTGAACATCCTCTGTAAGCAGATTAAGAGGAAAGCAGGACTTGAAAGAAATTCGAATCTGATGCTGAAGAAAATTAAGAATACAAAAGATTTTAGATATAATTTTGGAATACAAAGGAGAAAAAGCAGAGTTAGAAGAAGTCTTGATGCTGGCCTTACTAGGAAACCAAGAGTAGAGTCTCTAGAAACAGAATATGGGAATCCGCAACATACATCTTCTAAACTTCATGTCTCAAAGCAGAGTTTATTTAAAGAGTTTTTGCTACTTCATAAAAACAGGACAGTTGGAACTTCGCATTCAAATACTCATCTATATAGTGGATGAAGCAGTTTGAGAAAAGATCCAAAAACTTTTGAAATGAGAAACAGACTCAAACCTGGAAACTCCCTTGAAACTAAAGAAGCTCGCACAATTCTTCCTGGGATGAGTAATAGATATCTGGTTAATTGAAATATTTCAAATAAACTTCAAAAATAATAGAGCTTTGCAAAGACATGTCTCAGAAACAAGCATGGAGCGAGAAGATGAAGTTAATCTTGAAAGAATCAAGGAAAAATATGAAACCCAAATCAAAGAGCTACAAGAAGAAAATGACAAGTTGAGAAAAAAAATCGAGCGTAAGGTTTATGATCATTTATAGAGCTCGAATCGCTTCATACAAACCTCATAATGAGTACTTCTGACTCAAGTAAAGACGCTGAAGTACAGTCATTTTATCAGAACATCTTCATCACTGATCTCCAAAAGGAACTTGATAGGAAAGATGCTGAGATTTCTCATTTCAAGCTCAGGATTCTCGAAAATAACGATGCATATGGCAAATTGCAGCAGAAAAATAAGAAATCATCGAAAATCATAAAAATGTATCGAGAGATGATTCAAAATCAAAAAGAAAAGGAGAGTAAGAACCTAGGCCTAAGGCTTATAGACATGAAGGAGGAAAAGAATACCTCTCAGGAGCTCACCAAGACCCAATTCGATAGTTTCATGGACCAAAATGCTGAGATATATGAAATTGAGAAGGAACTTTTAGATAAGAATATAATCCCTCCTAAAGGTTCCTTCCAAAAGATGGATAATGAAGTTATGAATGAGGTTTTATCCTCATTTCATAATAATAGTGATAGCACCACCATTGTTCTTCAGAAATTGTACAATAGCATAAAGGAAATCAGCAAGCAAGGGAATATCAATGACTTGCTTGAAGTTGCAGAGGGTATTTTATCAGAAATGTTCAGTAAAAGTTCTGGTATTATCAAAGGAACAAAAAATCAGGGATCTAACCAATTAAAAAGAGGAAGAATTACCTTTTTAATATGAAACCCTGTGGTGCTAGAGGCTTTTAACATGGAGAAGAAAGGCTATGCTAATAATATAACGATAGATGGATTTGAAGTGTTTATTGCACATTCTAACAAAGTCTATCATAAAAAATCTAAAATTAAGAGATACAATAAGATAAAAAGGGCAGGTGAGAAGGAGTTTCCTTTTGAACCTTGATTTACCTCAATTGATCAGGCTTACTATGGGAAAATAGTCAAAGGATCTATGTGACATTGATGCTTTAAAAATACTAAAACAACCAATAAATTAAGAGGAAAATTAGACTCGATTCATTTGATAGTCCAATGTGATAAAAATATGAGCCAAAATGAATCAGGAATATTTACTTCTAATGAGCATTTCTGACTTAAAATAATAACTCAGGCGATATCTAATACAATAGAGAAAATCATATCTGGGATGCAGGTCAACAACATCATTGATAGGACAATAAGCGCATTGGAAATTTTTGGAGGAATAACTATTCAAAACAACCTGGCATCTATATTCCATAGTATCGAAGAATGGATTCCAACAGTTTTTAATGCGAAGAAAGCTTGAGTGTTCTATATTGATAAATAATGAACCTCAATACATATTCACCTGCACTGATATCGGAGAAGATGAGAAAGGAACAAAGTTTATCAAGAATGTGGCAAAGTTTCCATGAAACCAAGGTTACACGGGCAAATGACTAGAGTATAAGAAATGACTTGTATACCAGCCTCCCAGAGCTAATGAAGTTGAAAGAAATCCAGAGTATCAAGTTCAATTTAAGGAAGAGCTCGACAATCATGTAGCTGAGCGAATAGTTGACTGGGCAATTTACGTTCCTCTTGAAGATGATAGAGGGGAAGCACAAGGAGTTTTACAGATATTGAACAAAGAAACTTATGGAGACTTGCTTTTTGAGAATAATACAAAAATATTAATTGACAAAAAATTGAACACGTTATCTAAAGTAATTGCAACTGCTATTAGAAATGCCAACACCGCAACTAGTGTCATGTCGCTCACCCATAATATGCAAGATATCATGAAATCTGTAAGTCTGACTAATAATATTTTAGGTGAAAACTATGGTTGAAGGTAAGCTGTCAATCTAATCATTAGGAGAACTACTTATCCAATCTAAGGAGTCCCATGTTGTAATTTTAGGATAATAGATTTTAGAGTGAAAATTTGGTAAATATCTCAAGTCTCATTGGAGACATTGTGAGTGATAAAAGAGAGAAGTTCTTTCAAGACAAAATCCTTATGAAGAAAGTTATTGAAGAGATCAAGTAACATTGGCTATAATTCCTAGGGAAAATAAAAAGGTGAAGATCAAAGTAAAGAAAAAGGGGAACAAACAGAAAACGGTACACAATTAATAATTCAATATTTTTGAAATTATAGGGGTTTTGGGGTTTTGGGGTTTTGGGG